TGTTTTCGCAACTTGGTCATATTGGTAGGAAGACTTAGAGGAACGCACCTTGTCCGGAGTTCATTGTATGGATCATCATTTCCAGATTAGGGCTGTAGACGTGGTACATTCCCAGATGTTTCGCCGGCATCGTAGTCGGCATCATCAGTGAGTCTCACCATTCAACAACTCGTCAAAGAGGTCTCTTTGAGAATCCTCTTTGCCCCTTATAACTCTGGTTTAGTTCATACTACCTGGTGTTTTGTGCTAACCATGTGTTCAGCCAGCTTAGTTTTCTTTATCAACAAACATCATGATGTTTCAACTCCTTTTCTCGATATGACAAATCTGTATATCTCTTCTAGCTAATCTTTCCCACTGTATTAAAGCTACGTAAAATGGATATCTGAATGTTAAGTTAGATTTAGTAAAACTTTTTTACTTGAACCCTATATATGATAAGGCATGATCTCCTTGTGGATTTTATGCCATCCTCGCTTTCTTTTGTTCTTCATTCTTAAATATCATTTTTCAGGAATGGCTTCATCTGTCACTTCTCTTCCACGAACTCGGTTTTCATTGCAAACAAATGTTGGCTTTGAAGAGACCTCAAATGAGTTTATGTCGTCAGGGCGGAAACATTCAATCGACCATGACGTGAAATTGCCCCTGAAAATTACCAAAGCTTCATCTCTCGTTTCCTCTTCACATCAACCTAGACATAATCCCTCCTGCCGCCCTATACTTCTTCTTGCTCATGGAAATTCTACAAGCATACCTACATATCCTTCTATTCCGGGTAATGCATTTAGTGAGTCTGGGACTAAATCTCAGGCTATTCTATCGACTCACCTAAACACGTCGGAAAATCCCGTAACTAGTACCACATCGGCCAGAGATATTCCCAAGCGCACATATTTATCCCCTCAATATGACCTTCCTGGTCACGAATCAGAGCACAAAAAGCTGGCCATTTCTGCTATTTCGCAATCAAAGTCACCATCGAATTATATAAATTTTAATCCCAAAAATCTGGTTGATGAATTAAACTTTGATTCCGACTTAAGTAATGTTAATCGAACTGTTGTTGCTAATTCGAGCCCTCCTCAACGATCTGAGGCCAACTTGCTTTCTGCTATTTCATTTTCCGCTCGATCTTCATTTTTGTCTAGTTGCGATAAAACGGCTTGTCTCCCGGATTCTACAAGCTCAAGCCATACTTAATGTGACCTCATATTATACTCAACCCCAGCAATTTTATTCCCTCATTTTGGTCGATTTTGCATTTTTATACTTTTGGCTTCACAATCATCGAATGCTTTTCTTTATTTTTTCCTTAATTTTTCTATCTTACCTCTTAGCATCCTGGATGGTTTTATTCTTTTTATTATTTTTACTTCGGCGATCTTTAAGCTTTCTGAATATGAGATCACCTACATTGTTTGCGCCGTTGTGATACTATTTTTATTCATGAAGTCGCATTTATACCAACATTGAATATGATTATTTTGACTGTTAATCTCAGATAATATCATATGTCAGCTATTACTCTATTTTTACACTTAATTGGCCAAACCGATTAAATCTCACCTCCCTTGTTTAATGATTTAACTTGAAATTCTTTTCTTCAATTTTAATTCATTACTAAATATATTTTCTGATAATTTGGCTAGCTAGGTAGCCTATGATGAGCCTCAAAGATGCTCCTAATTGTAGAAAACTTTTCTGAACAAAGTTTTTTTGACGATTTTTCTTTCATTGCGAGGTTGGGTCCTGGGTAGACGTCTGGTATCATTGAGTCTAGTTTTAACTGAGTGTGCTGAGGTAACTAACCTGAACTAAGAAGGCTTTGTAAGTAATGGACAAATGATCAGGAAAATAGCCAGGCCATATAAAGAAAGACTGGGCTTGGAAGAAGCCCTTAGCAATAATCATAAGAACTATAATATTAAATAAAGAATCTGGTGCCACGGAAAGCAGGGAATTCATTGACGGGCCATATTCAAGCGGACGTGATATCTCTAGAGCCTAGCTCCGACAAAAACCTGAGCCATTTAGCGGAATAAATATAATTAAAGTCCCTTTCAATTCGTTTGAAGAGGCAAGTGAAAGGGATTAGTAAGTTGGCCTTACAGGAACCTGTAGATGATTACCTCGGAGATGTGATTGTACATTTGTGCGAATAGATCCTCGGCGCACTGACCTGCGACCCCGATGAATCATTGCTGAGCATTCGTTTGTCGTGTGACGGACATCGTTAGAGAAGGACAACATGCTTTACGATTATTCACCAAAACAATAGGAAAAGAAAGATGGCTGGCTGCTCCAAACTTTGCCGACGTAGTAGAGCATCAAATGATTTGGTTGGATATCCTATGCTTATCCTACATGCTGTTGAAAATCGAAGTGGCGGCGGATTCCACGTGAAGTGGTTGCAAATGGAGCATAAAACGAATGCAATTGTTACAGAACAGCTGCATCCTCCTATAAAAGACATTTTATATTTTTGATCCTGAAATTTTGCCGCATGTGATTGCGTTCCATTGTACCTATGTTGTGTGCATCCAATGTTCGTGAGGCGCGTGGGGTTTGAGAATGGAAACTAGATTTGGGACCAATCAAGCCTCCATCTTGTTCGGCGATACATCCTACTCCCTCTCTAATCCTATCCAACTGCCACAACTAGTTTCCGCTTAATTTCCTACACTCATTCCTTCTATTCAAGGAGTGGGCCGCTTTGTTGATTCCTATTGATTCCCTAATATCCCGCTTACTGGTGAAGTTTCCACATCCAACTATGAGTTTATCTACGGCCAAACGGAAGGATACACCATCTTGGTCTTAATACATACGATCTAATTACGGTGGTAAGATTGCCAGTCAATGGATTGATTACAACAGATGAAAGAAAGCGGTGATAAGGCAATTTTGTAATTTGAACTTTCTTGACTGTTATAAACGTTTTGGAATCCCTCCTAGTTTTTGACATTTGTTGAGATAATATCATGCTGATAAGGTTCGTTGCAAAAATTAGAAGAAACATATGATAGCAAGAGGGGAAAATTATTTACGTTTTTTTATATTAAATCTAGAATAAGGCATGGTTATAGTCAGATTCTTATTTCGGACAATTTACTGAAACAACAGAAAATGGCATACAAAATGTCTAAAATGAGATCGGACTCAATAAAAAAACCCACCAGATCTAAACTGTTGAGTATTTTTGCTAGCAGTCGAAAAGGTATGGTGTCACTGAGAATATTTTCCATTTTAGTGGAGATGCAAATACCTCTGAGAAGCTATCTGAATAATTAAAAATGGAAATCATCCTAACAATTTTGATGCATCAAGAACCCACGGATAGGAAAAATATAACAAAGATATATAGAGAATTGAGAGGGAAAGACCAAGTTGTCCTACAAGCTGACAAAGGGGTGCCACAGTGGTGATAGACAGGAAGGAATATATTAAGAAAAAATGGAAAATATTCTCAGGGACACTACAACAGTCAAAATCAAAGGGGCACTGCAAGAAATGCTGACTGAAATTAATATATGCGGGAAACTCGATAAATGGAGAATGAACTCACTCATACAAAAAGATGCAAGAGCCTCAGTAGCATACGGTTTGCTGAGAGTACACAAAAAACAATAACGATTGAGAATGAGAATCAACAACAAGTATGGACCGACACATAAATTGGCGAAATTTATCTGTCTCAAATTAAAGAATGTGAGTGATAGATTATTGAATATATTGAAGAACTCACACGAGTTTTGCCAAAGAATTAATCGCACCGGTTTGGAGGGAAACGAACTTTTGGTGAGCTTTGATGTACAGTTCATGTAGACTAACATCACAGGAAAAAAAGCACTCACTCATCTTGGAAAAAGAAAATGACATCCTGGCGATAGAGCAAATACGTAGAGAGTCTATGACCCGATTATTCAACGTTCCAATAAGGACGACCTATTTCTATGAGAAAAGATTTGGTCCGCCTATGGGCTCACCACTCTCATCTCTGTTGGCTAATGTCTTCATGGACAAGTTGGAGGACAATTTCAAAATGTCACGTTAGCAGCCAACAGTAATTATGCGATATTTGAATGACTACTTCGCAATCTGATCGCATGGAAAATGAAACTTAAATTATTTCCTGATATTCATTAAAGAAATGGATGTAACATTTAAATTCACCATGGATGTGGAAGAGAACAGACACTTACCTTTCTTGGATGAAGAGGTCATTCGCTCCAAGGAAACTCTTAAGTAAAGACTTTTCCTAAAAAATCATATGCTGGAATAACTCGTAATTTCCAGTGGAATCATAATTATGGGATGAAACTTGGAATACAACGGAGTATGCTCATAAGAAGCTTACGACACTGCTTTAGAATTCTGGAAAGAGAAACTGGGACAACCAACTCAGATGTGTCTTGGAAACGAATATCCAGAATAAGCAATACATACACAACATAGGGATGGTGATGCACAGATGGAAGAGCGCAGATTATAAAATGAAGGCAAGAGAAAGTGAGGAAAACGATAGATATGAACCCGGGGGAGTCCATCTGTGCTATGTATGGTAGGAAATTAAAGGCTAGATGGATAGATGGGTCAGATATAGGTAACCAATGTGTGTGCTTGTGTGTATGTTTCGTGTCTGTGCATGAGGAGAGGTGACTGGTGACAGGCTTGACTACAGGAGATAACAGCAAGCACACACAAACATCATATACTTAGATAGGAGTGTCAATTTGAAGGACGAGAGGAATGTGGGATTTTCGCCGGACACAGGGTCTCATAGAATGAGACACAATGTGGGCGGGGATAGGGAAGAGGAAGACGATAATTGAGTCTTGTGTTTGAAGCCTAGGGGGGGAAGAGGACTAGGTACTGGCATGGGCACCATATACTATTAATCCTCCAATGCGGCGTTATCGAGGACGGGAAATAAGGACACTTAGGCAGCCAGTGATATTGATGTATTACAGCGACCAAATGACAAGCGGGGCAGGCGAAAGGGGGAAGAATGAAGGTCAGGAGCTGTGCAAATGGCACCTGGTACCGATGGTAGAGATCATTACGTTTCGCTAAACCTACGTGTGGCGACACACGCTCAGGCGACATTAGAGAAAACGAGAGCACATAATTGTGTGGATAGGTAGATTGATCATATCAAGTGGAGTTGAGAGACCGAGAAGGCAGAACAAAAACTAGTGGTAAGGAGTGATGCCATAACGGGTGAATTGAAAATTGGTCAAGGGGATTGTCTTCACTTGCCACTTTGATATGTTGTAACTCTGTTCTCATGATGGCACCTCTCACTGACGATGTCTGCGATACGTTTGGGAATGTACCAAGTCAATGTGGTCCGATGCTGGAAATCACAATTAATATAGTAGGGGACACTGGACTAGGTACGTTCCACAAGGTCTTCCTAACGCTCCGACAAGTTTGCGAAAACTAAGTCGAACCAATACTCTAAAGCTAAAGGACACTGCAACCAAGCAGAAGGCAACACTATCTTTGTCTTCATAGCTATGCTTTACGATAATTCTTCGAGCACTAGTGCTTATGCATATCTTAGAGGAACCTAAGGGCACCAAACTAATCGAGGTTCTTTACTTTACACTAAGACTAACAAAGCGCTGGCTAGACAAATAAGAATGGCAAAACTCACTGACGATGCCGGCAAAACGTCTGGGAATGTACCACGCCCACGGTCCGACTTTGGAAG